ATACAACACGGTGTAATTAGGCAATTTCTCCCCTTTGATTTGTTTCTATCCCATGACAATTTACTCTATCTGTTTATCCTACTTGTTTTATATCAGTAGTTGAAAAATAACAATAGCAAATGACAATTACTGACGGACTTCTGAACACTGCTGACATCAAACAGTGATCGGTGGTCGGAGAATAATGTACCGTAAACTTGACCAACTCAATTATTTTGCAAACCAAACGGCTATTGTAATTTCTTTTTTCTGGAATCTATCGCCAAAACCTCTGTCATCATTTACCAAAACATTTGGTAATCTTGTGGCGAAACAGTTGGCCAAGATGATCAATGATCGTTTTTGTTGTTACGCTAGAAGAATCAAGTCATCGAGTAGGGAGGTATTTTTAGCATACATTTGATTAAATCGTCTTTCCCTCTTCCATACTCTGTTTCTTAGGTGAACATATCGATTATAACGGTTATGCTGTGCTCCCAATGGCGTTGACTCAGGCTGTACACATCGCAGTCGGGTTAAATAAAGAACCGGTGCTTGTCTTAAGCAGTACGGAGCCTGATTTTGAGTAAGTAATTATGATGCACACACTATTAGGCGCTCATCCTTTCTATGGGGTTATTTGAGGATGCGCCATAATCTGTTTGAATCACTCTGATGAACGTTTGTTTTGTTTGTGTTCCATGATCTGGAGAACAATCAAAGCCCGTGTACATAATAACCTCAGGATTGAAAATTTTGTCTTAAAATGTGTTTCCTCATCAGTGTAATCATCTTTTAGTTACAAGTGTTTGTATCATATGCTACTGGGCGACTTATTTCCCGGTACACGAGACGTAACAGGACGATTGAAAACAAGGCCAATTGAGGTGTGATCTTCCTGTCTTCCCAAGAGAACCTATTTTTGTACATCACTCTTTGCAAGATACTCCGATATAACTTCGATTTGATTTCCACACATAGCCGGACCCATAGTTTTTCTTCGTGTGGTTTTAGTGACCGAGTATCGGAACTGCTAGTCTAGGGGAATTTATCCACATCCAGCTATTCCTATTACACCCCATGAACGATCTTTTCTCATCGTTCTCATGGATACGGACACAGTCTCCCGAGTTTCTCATTGCAGTGCGTTTCTAGAAACTTTTTAATCGGTTGCTACTCCCCTTCTGAAAGCTTTTGATACCGATGTGTATTCAGTCAATAGGGAAATATAATAAGTGTAATATCATCAATGTCCTACTACAATGATATTTAAAGTATAGCTAAGTAGTTTGGACGGATAGATGGCGTGTGCCATTCGTGATTCGCAAAGAAACGGTTTAAAAAGTCCTTGTTGACGTTGTTGCTTTCAATTTTCTCCAAGTTTTTGCTAATGAATTCGAAACCATTATCCTATATTATCCATCTTGGTATGACAAACGGTAGACGGGCACTCACAGCCACAAGAACCCACTGTTGGTTGTGGATTGGAGAAACGGCAACCTCAGTCATAGAGTACGAAGTCGGATAGCTTGCGTTAGGATACGTTCACTATCGAGTCTATTAGTAAACAAACTTCATATCCACGTGGCTCTGTCCGTAATTAAAACTTTCAGCCAGGGCCAGGTAGGCCTTCTATCGCGAGTCCTTTTGGACCCCGACTTGATCGTTTGCTCCAAATATCTGGACTGTTTCATTCAAGCAGCTGATAAACTCTTCATTCGTCAGTTTACACTTGCGCGGGCACAGACCGACACAAGAATTTCTGTTCTTCGTCGAGACCGCTTTTGCTTGTTTGTTTATCGTCATTCAACTGCCCACGTTCTGCATTTAACAGATCAGTCACGGTCCCGGTGAGTGAAGCAATGAAATTCGGGTCAGACGGACCACCGAAAACAGTAAAATGGTTTCACTACTTTATGTGCGCCTATCACGGGATCACGGACTATGTGAACGAGCATAAACTGGTATGTTGGTTCTCGCTCTCTCTCTCTCGCTTGCTCGCTTTGTCCGTTTTGTTATTGTTTTTTCTTAGCTCGTTTGGAATAAGTCAAGTAAATATTTCCGAGAGTATAACTAAACAAATCAATGAGGCACCACGAAAATCGCTTATCAGTAGCAAGCTCCGAATGTGTACAATGTAACCGATAAGAATTGAAATCAACAACCCCATTCTTCTTGGTTTGCTTTCATGCCTTTTGTTGTCACGAAACCATCAGTTACACAGGGTCCCTTGGACCTCTACCCGAGAAAGATGGCAGGAATCACTACTCTACCTCAGTTGTTTTCATGTTCGTTTCCACCTCATTTTCAAGTGATTTTATGATCCCCTCACAAGTTCCCGTACTCTGCAATATTTTTCCTAATAAGCAAGTTTATTCATCTGAATTTTCGGGACATGAATTTTTCCTCTGAGACACTTTCAAGCACCAGGACACCTTGCATCTGTCTTCCCAACGTTCACTTGTATCAGACTGCGTAAACTTTAGGGGTTAGAAACCTGCAGTTGATGCATATCTTTCAGATGAACACCGCAATTAAAATTGGGCTTATCATCACACTATTTCCAGGTTTCGCGTTGTCTGCAAATGATTTCCTTATCTTTAGATGATACGGTTTCAAAAAACTACTGAACTACTAATTGCATAGTTTTTTTCCAACTGACGTGGACTCTTGTCTTTTTTGACTTGTGGACATCATGCTAAACGTGTTTGCTAATACAAACTATGTGCAGCACTGAATGCATCGGAATCGGAATCTCTCTCTCCCCTTTGCATCGTCAGACTCGGAACTAAACAATGACTCTTCACCGGATTTCATCTGGGATACACTTTCCTTTGTTGTCATAGAAACGTTGTGCGATTATGGTGATCCTAAATTCTGTGAAATATTCTGCCGTTTTCACGGAGCAACTTCGAATTTCTGGCCACCGGATTTTACCTTATTTTAGCAAATCGGTTCGTAACAGAGAGAGAAGAATTTATAGAAATCTCAAAAAATTTCCCAGAAAACATCGAGCTCGATGACAGGTCGCACTACGCAAACTATCAGTTTTAGACATCTGCATTCCAGCAGTCATCAGTGGAAATGTGCGCTCCCTGCTTGGTAATATGGCAGAATTAATAGATCTGACAAGGAGACGTGAATATTCAAAGGTTGAAGTCGTAATGCTTCAGGAGAGCTGGCTTCATAATGAAATTGATGATAACGTGGTTAAAATCGATAATTTTTCCATCTGCCGAGTTGATCGACCCGTTCCGGTTCACAAATGAGGCGGTGGTGTTATCATATACATAAGTGACAATTGGTGTAAATCAGGCAAACGAGTCGTTATGTATTCTACCATTTTTATCAGTACTTCACTGCACAAATGCAGACCTAAACACCTCAGTAACTACCGAAATATTATTTACATTTCTCCTTGTTCCACCTATCATTTTAATGAGTTCACAGATATTTTCTCCACCGTTTTACTAAATTACGTAGACTCCTCCCTTTGCATCGTGTGTGGTGACTTCAATAGGTTTGATGTTACGTTTTTGGTAACCCATGGACCACAAAACGTTGTTAACCTTCTGACCAGATTCGGGGCTTGTCTTGATTTGTGTTTCATTAACGACCTGAATTTATTTAGATAGCTCAGCCGTTCCCCTATTGGCACCTTAAATCATGCAACACTAAAATTATCTCCCACGATCTACAGTAGATCCAATCATCAGTTATACACTCAGCATCGTGATTGTCGTCTCCGTCGGCGTCAATGTCAACCCGAAAATCTCACCAAACTAAGGGATATATTAGATCAGACAGATTTCTCTTTATTTGTACATAATGACCCCTCTATATTTTGTGATACCCTGACTGAATATTTGAAGTTCTGTTATGATACGTGCTGCCCGTGGGAAACTTCATACGTACGGTCAGACTGTTTTTCGTCCCCTACACTTAAACAATTACGTCGGAAGAAAGAGCGAGCTTTCAAAGCAAAAAAGTACTCTTTGATGAGAGACCATTTGAAAGCAATCAAGACTGAACTGCGGAGATTAAACGCCGTTTATGTACATGCACCGCTGGCAAACAGGAATTGTCGGGATACATGGAAAATGATGTTTCAGTTCTACGGTCTCAAAACGAAGGAGAATCTTCCAGCTGTCAATGTGGACGATCTCAATCGTCAATTCAGCAATGCTGAAACCATCTCTATCCCATTCACAACAGTCTTCCCTGCTCCTAATGTTGTTAATTTAATCACTGATCAAACAGAAGTATTCATAACTTCCATCAATCTGAAGTCTGATAAAGCATGCGGTCATGATGGACTGCCACCTGTTGTGCTTAAAGAATGTGCAGTTGCCCTTTGCCCTGTTTTCACCGACCTACTCAACCAGTGTTTTACTCAACATTGTATTCCGGACTGCTGGAGAGTAGCTTCTATCACGCTAGTACCAAAAAAGGGACCGTCAAAATTGCGCCCCATTGCTTGCACTTCTGTTGGTTTGAAAGTCATGGAAAAGATTTTACTACAGAAGATGTTGCCCCAGCTAAATGCACCTGATCTCAATCAGTTTGCCTATTGCAGTTCCAGGTCAACCATTGATGCGTTGGCATCCCTTATTCATTATGTCTCTTCCTTCTTGGACAGGAAATGTAAAGCTGTTCGTGTATGTTTCTTTGACTATATTGATGCCTTTAATTGTGTTGATAGTTCCAAACTTCTTCACACTTTTTCTGGGAAAGGTATTCAACCGGAGCTTACCAGACTGTTAAGTAGTTATTTCACCCATCGATTACAGTTTACTGAATTTAAGGTTCATAACTCTTCACTTTTACCCTTCAAGGAGCTATTCTCTCTCCATTCTTGTTCACGATCTATATTTCTTCAATGCCTGCGTTTGATAATTGTTTGCTCATTAAGTCTGCTGATGATGTTGTGCATGGCATGGCGTTTTCGGATTCCTCCGTGTATCCCAAACTTATGCAGAATACTTCACTGCTCACCCACTGGTCTTCACAACACAATCTTAAAATGAATCCTTTCAAGTGTAATGATGTTTTATTTTCTTTGCTGAAGAGTGATTAATATATTGATGTGATGAACTCTTGTCAACATGTCATTATCAATGGTGAACAAGTTTCCAGAGCATGCTCCATCAAATATTGTGGAGTCACCATTTCTCGCAATCTTTCTTGGTCTCATCATGTCATCGAAACATTTCACAAAGTCAGAAAACTCACCTTTTACATTATTCGTTTGAAAATGCCATCTACCCCAACTCACTTAATAAAGCGTTTTGTTTTCTCTTGTATCCTTCCCCACTGGCTTTATGCGTCCCCTGTTATATTTTCGGGTCTTTTAATCAAAGACTTCAAACTCATACGCACATCCATCAAACACGTATGTCGATATAGTGGCATATCTCGTGAGTATGTTGTACAGTTCATTCTTTCACAAC